GAAGATGTTTATGTATAAGTAGTTACAATTAGTGATGTCATTTGAGTCATTACCTTTGTATAAACAGTATTACTACAAAATTAATAAATCTACCAGCTACAACCTGATTCTGGCCGATTTCTTAGCAAAATGACATCGCATTATCTACTACGTTTAGTTACTCAGCTGAGACAGTTACACCAATGTAGGTATATAAATCTTACATCACAGTGGAGGTTTATTTCAGGAGGAACATTGCACGGAGAGGTCTGCAGGTGCGGGGCGAGGCTGCGGGGGGCGGGGTAGGTGAAAGTTACGAGCTCTCGCCCCGGGCTTGAGGGTTACTTGTGACTGGTGGTTTATGTAACATTTTAGCTTTGATTTTAGGAGGAAATAAACGGCAGATAGAGCCGGTAAACGATAAATATAGTTATCGATACGTATGCTTTTTGCTACGATATTTCAAGTTTTATCACGTGAAAACTTTCATCGAAATATTTGCGTTTTTTATTTATTAAGGATATTTCACATACAAAATACTGCACATGAAATAATGAAACTTTTTACCTTATAAATTAACAGCCTTTACACTTAGGGAACATCAAAGACTGCAATGGCAAAAATATAAGATAAACAATTTTAAAATTATAACGAAACTAAGAGAAATAATTTGAATTTATGCATATACATAACTATCCAATAATCTATTTTAGTTTATAACACTCGTAATTAACTAAAGAAATTAAAGTTATAAAACTTAAGAGAAATTGTAATTTTTTTGACGAGGTTATCGCGATGGTGACACATAGGAAATAATTTTTCTTTTTTTCGGATTGAAATCGCGTATATTTGTTTTTTTTTTCAAATATGAACACTTTTTGAAATAAAATAATTATATGTACACTTAACAGTTATAATGTATGCTTCGTTTTGTAAACGAAAGTAAAACTCGTCGGGGTTTTGAAGAATAAATATTTTAAAACAGTGGTGAAAAACTAAAACATGGTTCCCAAAAAAAATCTCGACACGACGTTTTCGCCTTTTCTACAAAATGCAAACGAATTATTATATATTGGTATCGCATTGTAGATAGTTGCACAACATTTTGCTTACGACCTACAGATTATATTATTTAGTACAAGAGCTGAATTTGGTTAAATAAAATTTCTTTTTTATAATATGGACCAAGTGCGGGACAAACAAGTCGTGCTCTTGGTGATAAGCAACACGCTTGTCCATGACAGTTGTTATTATAGACAACTCTAATTGGATATATCCGTTGTAATTAGAATACATAAATAAAAAAAGAGGCTGACCATGAACCGTGGAGGAGGCTTCACCGACAAGAGCCGGGCTCTTAAATAGGAGGATGATGAATGAAAACGTTTATAGATTTTTTTTTTTCACTTACTATCTTGTAAACTTTGTTTGTTTAGCTTTTATGCATTTTCTTTCCCGAAGTTGGTAATGGTGTCTACTTTTTTATGACACCAAGTGGCGGGACGAACAAATCGTACGCCTGGTGGTAAGCGTCATGCCTATCCATAACAGTTGCAGTGCCATTCAGAGCTTTAAATCGCAAAGATCTTATGGGCACTACCACTGCGCCCGTCACCCTGAGACATAAGTTGACAAGTCCCATGTGCCTGTAATTTCACCAGCACCCTTACCCTTAAACTTTCCTGGACGAACTCTTTCACAAGGAGCTATACTGCTAGTAAAACCACCAAGAGACGTGATATCTATACAAGAGTATTGCAAACCAAAGCGTTGATGTGCTCAGGCGTCAGACTTCCGCCTATTTCCGCTTCAATTGCCCAGCGCCGGTCAAACTAATCCAAAACTCAATACCCTTGTGTGCCTTCTCGTGTTTGCTACTTAGACAGTATATTTATGTGAATTGGTGTAATACTACTTATCTAACAGTTCTCGTAACTTACCGTCTACAACGCAAATATATTATGATAAAATATCTATATATATACTTTATTTTGAGTCGAATATTTTGAGCTCTAGGCAGAACAGATAAAGTTTTTTTTTATAATATCAAGTGCCGGGACTAACAAGTCGGGCGCCTGATAGTAAGCTACACGCCTGTCCATAACAGTTGCAGTGCCACTCAGAGCTTTAAATCGCAAAGAGTGGCACTGCCACTGCGCCATAGGCCGAGACATACATCGACAAGTCTTATGTGCCTGTAATTTCACCAGCACCCTTAACCCTTTAAAACGGGAACACAGTAATGCTGACATTACTGCTTGGCGGCAGAAGTAGGCAAGGTGGCAGTGCTTCTCTGGACGAATTCTTTCACAAAGAGCTCTACTGTTACTAAAAATCTTATGGATAACATATAGGTACACTAACTTGCCTTTGTTTATCAGCAATAGGTACAAGTTTTGACAATCATTACATTTCTTTTCTCCACAAAAGATGGAGTAAAAGGAACTGTTATCGTATATTTTTATATAATACCAAGTAACAGGACGAACAAGTCGCGCGTCTGGTGTTAAGACACGCCTATCCATAACAGTTGTATTGCCACTCAGAGCTTTAAATCGCAAAGATCTGCATAGGGGCACGACCACTGCGCTCGTCACCCTAATTTGACAAGTTCCATGTTCCCGTAATATCACCAGCACCCTTACCCTTCCAAAAATGAGTAAGGTGGCAGTACTTCCCTGGACGAACTTTTTCCCAAGGAGCTTTACCTACTACTAAGTAAATAAATTAGTATTACTATACTATACTATTTTAGTATTTTGTTATATATTTATATATATTATAATGTATACTTCATGATCTCAAGGTTTAACAACTATCAATTTTTTTTCGCCTTTTGGAAAATCCAAGGCGAAAAGTATATCGTAGCGACATCTCTTTAAAATCGTTTAAACTACGTTTGTCTGTTTTATCGACTGAGGTACTATAGTTCGAAACTCTTTAGATTATAAGTTAAGGCTTCAAGGTGGAGTAAGACGAACACCGGAAGAGGGATTTTCCCTCGGTGTTCATCTTGCTCGACCTGACCCTAAATGTGATCTTAAGAAGAAGAACGCCTTCGTCAATATTTCAATTCGGTACAAGTACATTTTTTTGCTATTGAAACCGTCAAATACAAACTTAAACGCTACACTAGATAAATTATGTCTCCATTTCTGTGAATCAAATTCTAGCCTACTACTACACAACTCTTCTCAAAATAGATTGCTCGGTAACGCAGCTTAATTTGCATATTTCCGGAACTACGCCTATTTATCTTTTTAAAAATACTACCTCACATGAAATTTCCCCGTAATTTGATTTCTTTTGCACACGCCGCCCTCTCATGCCGCAATTTCAAATCTCAGCGTGAGTTTCGTGTTCAAATTAAAATGTTTATTGCGTTAAGAGGAGTTCGCACGGTCGCCCATGAGCGGCTCGGAGCATTTTTATTTCGTTATCCGTGACACGCCCATCGGCTGTAGCCCCCCTCGCCGCCCTGCATTCCTCTTTCACCTCTGCGATTTCACTATTTTATGAACCCGAAGGCACCCCTGTCTAATGTCGCTATAATGCCTAGCGACTGTCATTTCCGTCTTCCTTTGGGAATGCTACACCTTCTCAGTCTTGTTACCTTAACATTAAGACACAGTTTTGTTCTAATTCACGTGATAAAGTTTACTCATGTTATGCGTGTCATAAAACTATTAGCCGCTTAAGCTATTCTTAAAGCGACGACGTTCCTCTGAGAATGTTTAACGCTTAGAAATTCGAAGGGTGCGGAAGGGCGCTATCATATTTTTTTTATTCGGAGTTTTCTACTTTTATGGTGTTTTTATGTTCCATTACGAATTATTCGGTCGTGTCTATAGCGTTTTTTGTGGTGAACATTATATTTCATTATCTTTAACACCTTGTTGGAAGTCATCGGTAGATTTTTAAACTGCCTCCGTGGCCGAACGGTTACCATACCGGACTGCCACGCAGAGGTCCCCGGGTTCGATTCCCGGGCCGGGAGAAATATTTGTATGGCCTACATTTATTTCTCTCGTGAGTTTGGGTGTAATTTGTGGTTGTCTATGTGTGTGTCCATGGCACCCGCGACACAGGGTTTCCCTAGTGCGGGGCCATGTTGAGTGTGTGCGTTAAAAAAAAAAAAAAAAAAAAGGTTTTTGCCAGAAACATCTAAGCAGCAGCGTTATTGAGTTTAAATTACTTTCATTTAGACTAAATTGGGTAATTTTTAGGTAAGTTTTCTCTACCTAATTTCGGTGGCAATTTTTATTTTTTAAGTATTCGAGTGAAATATTATATAGGTATCTAATATTTCAAGATACTACACTCGAATATTAAATAATACTTAATGATAATATTTTAGAAATTACCTAATCTGGTTTGCAGAAAGTGTATAAAAAATAACACCAAATACTTTATGAAACAAAAAACGCTTTAAGTCAGTAGAATTTTAATGCTTCAAAACGTTATGAAGTATATAGAACAGTACCTATACTATAGGTAGATATTTAAAGTTATTAAAATACTAGGTATATGTACTAAAACCTGAGTTAAAGAAAAATCGTGTTCAACAGAAGGTTGTGTGAGTTGATATAGTACAATTAGAAGGTATCATATACCTATCTACCGATGTATTTTCTTAATTTCAACTTATTTGACCGTAGAGAAACAGAACCTTAGGTTATTTTAAATGTTTCTATTTAATTTATGTTCATAGATCATTTACGTACGGATCATATGATCGTATCGGATTTATATCGTGACTTTGGACAACTTTAATGTAGGCGACAGCAACAATGATAAGAAGAGCGCTAAGCAACAATTTGAAACGAAAAAGTTTATGCAAATCGAGGGAGCCGAAATAAAATGGAGTCGATGCGAGCGCGTGCGATCGATACGCCCGTCGACCTTGCGGGGGCGGGGCGCAGCGTGGGCGGGGCCACCCTCGCCCCGCCCACCCCCGCTCCCCTTCGCTAAGCACCCGCCGCGCGCGCGCGCGCCTGCACTCGCTTACTACAGTCAGAGCCTCAACGCGAACTTACGCCGACAACTATGTGAGACAAAAGACGCGCTCGCGTAACCGCATTATAAAAACATTTTGACGTAAAAACAGTTGAAAATATTATCAATGAATGGAACCCTGTGCAGTGCGCTAGTGGTCGGACAATGATAACAGATATGTATGCGCCGCTGGCGGCGCCGCCGTCCAACAAAACCATTGTAAGTTTGTTGTTGTTTTCTTTTCAGTGACTCATGAGTAAAATAATATAATTTGGATAGATTGATAACAATATTATTTTACGTTGTTACTACATGAAATTAGTAATTAAAAAATGCGCTCGTATTAAATATCGGTTTATTTATTTACTTACTTACTTATTTGAGCATGTATTAAGCCAAGTGTACAAAATTTGTAAGATGTTACTTTGTTTATTACTCAAACGAAATATTTATTCAAACGAAATTAATTTTAACTGTTATAAGTATCTACCTATTTACAACGTTTTTACTTTGAACTTATTTAAGTTACAACATAATTTTTTTTAGTTAAAAATTACCTAATTTGATATTTATATATACCTGCCAAACTAAGCCGTTTTATTGTTTCTGTTAATCCGCGGGTACCTACTCTACATTTTGTTTAATTGTATTTTATTTTTAAATTTTGGTGAAAAAACGCTTATACTTTGAATAATTTTTAAATTTGCATCTTTACCACAACCCGTCGGCATTTTCGTAGCACATACCTACTTGAATTGTAATTTTTTTCCTGTTAAGTATAAACAAATTTAAATATTTTGATAATAGAAGCAGTGAATAGAAACTGATAATTTAATAACAAATTTTCAATATGAATAACACTTAATTAATTAAATTCTACATGAATAGCACTTAATTAATTAAAATCATTATTTGTGTTTCAATTAATGAAAAGAAAACGCTATTTAACTCTACATCAAGAAATATTTAATAGCAATAGGTAGCGCTCTTTGTAAAAGAGTTCGTCCAGGGAAGTACTGGCACCTTACCTATTTCTGCTACCAAGCAGTAATGTGAGCATTACTGCGTTCCGGTTTTAATGGGTATAAGGGTGCAGCTGAAATTGCAGGCACATGAGACTTGTCAATTTATATCTCAGGGTGACGGGCGCAGTGGCTCTGATTAGCATTGCAGCTGTTATGTCGCTTACCGTTGTGCGCACGACATGTTCTTTCCGTCACTAGGTATCATAAAAAATAATAACGTTACCGCAAAGTGCGCGAAACCGGATTCATCACCTAGTTTGCCACCCTTAGAAGTGGAATATTTTCTTCTAATTTAAATGAGATCAACACTGAGGTGCCCTCTTTCCAACAAAAAAACAGAATCATTAAAATCGGTTAACAAATCGTATTTGCTTAACATACGTACAAAAAAACAGTCGAATTGAAAACCGCCTTCTTATTTTAACTCGGTTAAAAAACAATCTCTCTCGAAACGAGAAACATAACAAAAACCTATCAATCAATACAAAAAAGGCGTTCTATTAAATCAAAACGACACCGATGATAGCTTTTCGAATAAATCCAGCGACAAAATATCTGCCAATTCGACTGTCAATTGTTTCCCTCAATCGATCATCCGCGTACGTTTGCCATCGTATACAAATTCAGGAAATGAAACGTATAGAGCCGTTGTCGATTTGTTCTGATAAATCGAACATACACTTATTGAATTTATGATGCGATGAAATAGAGAACAATGAGGTATTGTTCTATTGCAGTCGTAATGGACATTCTGTTACATACACACACTTGGGAGTACATATGTATTCCCGTGGATATGTTCAACATACAATGTAACAGTTACAACATTGTACTTACATATTGAGCTTTCTAATTTTATCAACGAACAATTGAAACATCACTTTGATCTGATAACACATGATGAGATTTCTTATTTGAAAGAATTAGTTCTATTACTTTGTATGTATCAAAAAAATGTATCAACTGGATCTAAAGGTTGGACTCTATTTTTCCATAAACAGGGGAATGCTGACCAGTATTTTCACTTTTATTTTTAATTTTTTATTTTGTACTTTCCGCGGGAAACAAGTTTCAGTCATTCAACCTAGCCCTATTCCTAATATGAAAATTCCTAATGTTTAAAGTTCGGTGCATTTGTTAGTTGCCTTTATTATTACTTACAATTAGTTATCCTCGTTTGAACAAACATAGAGAGACGTAAGCTCTAATGATTGAGTGATACGGGTATTCAAAATAAGTGGCAGGCAAAGGTGTGCAAATTGTGTTATTATTTTGTAATATAATAAATGAATAATATTACGCTTTGTATTTCAAGTGACATATAGTCTCGTTTTTGTGTATATTTGGTAGTAGTCTTATTTACGTAAACTGTTGAGTAGGTAAGTTGTAAGTATTGGTTTTAAGACTTCTGTGGTTATCTACTAAATGGTTACATCTAGTTTTTTTTATAATATCAAGTGACGGACGTCGTGTGCCTGACAACAGTTGCTGTGGCACTCAGAGCTTTAAATCGTAAAGATCTGAGGGGCACTGCCACTGCGCCCGTCGCCCTGAGACATAAGTTGACAAGTTCCACGTGCCTGTAATTTCACCAGCACCCTTACCCTTCAAAACCGGAACACAGTAATGCTGACATTACAGCTTGGCGGCAGAAGTAGGTAAGGTGGCAGTACTACCTTGGACGATCTCTTTTACAAGGAGCTCTACTGCTACTAGTTACATTTTGTGACTACGGCATGATTTTTTATTTTTTTCCCATTTTTCGGAACAGTTTTGTAGCGATAGAGCGTCTATGAAAGAGTTCGACCAGGGAAATAGATGTCATCACGTCTATTTCTGCCACCAAGCAGTAATGTAAGACTTACAGTGATCCTGTTTGGTAGTGTAAGGGTGGTGGTGAAATTATAAGCACATGGGACTTGTCAACTTTATATCCCAAGGTAGGTAGGTGATGGGCGCAGTGGTGGTGCCTCTCAGATCATTGCAACTAAAAATTTTGTATTGCACTGCAACTGTTACAGACGGGCGTATCGTTTAACACCAGGCTCATGACTCGTTCCTCTAAAAAATCGGAAATATTATATAGTAAATATTTCCATTTCCACATTTTTATAATGGATATTACGTGAATTACAGTTACGTCTCACATGAGGCTGTCAATCTCATCTCTAGATCCATACACAGGTCTATTATGCGTGTCTAATAGATTTTTTTTGGCGCTGGCCCATTCACAGCGTGCGCAGCGTGGAGCCCCGTCAATGGCCATTGTAGCATTCAGTCGAACGACCGACGCCCGACAAACTTTTATTTGTAATGTCCCTAAATGGCTGTTGTGGGGATTAAGGTGCTGTGCTTTGTCATCGCACCGAGTTACGGCAAATCGACAATTCGGTTCGACTCTCAATAACATTGTAGGACCTACTTGAGGCGAAAATGGCATTAGCCTAATACGCTCAACAATGCTCTTGAGATCTGTCACTTTTGATAGTATTTTTTGTAATAGTTTGCACGGGGATTAAACACTTTAGCTTTAGGATTTTGACTACTTACACCCAAGAGGGCTTAGTTAAAATTTTGGAGTTAGTTATATTTTCGTTGTTAGTTGATGGATTTTTTTTATGAGTTTTTTTTCATGATACCAAATGACGGGACGAACAAATCGTGTGCCTGATGGTGAGTGACGCGCCTGGTCGTAGCACTTGCAGTGCTATTCACAACCTTAAATCGCAAAAATCTTAGGGACACTGCCACTCCTCCCGGTCACCCTGAGACATAGGTTGACAAGTCCCATGTACATGTAATTTCACCAGTACCCTTACTCTTGTAAACCAAAACGCAATAACACTGGCAATACTGGTTGGCTCGGTGCAAAAATAGATAAGGTGGCAGTACTTTTCTAGACGAACTCTTTCACAAGCTCTACTGCTACTAAAAGAGTTTACATTACTTGAATAAGAATGTCACGTTCAGCCTCAACGGATGACTAGCTTGTTGACAAAGACAGACTCACTAGACCTAAGACTCCATCCTTTGAGCATTGGACTGTCAGGAATTAAAAATTATACCAACCTTCTTTTGGACAAAAGACGATGAGGGCAGTCCTAATCAAACCTCTGACGAAAGCAGACAACTACTCCTCAATTTTCTACAATTGTACAGACAGACTGTATACTGATATAAGGTTTTTACTAGTTCTAATAAAATTAACGTGTTTGTTTACACACCTTCAAATGTAATCGAGTAGTAACGCCTAGTTATCTTTAGCGATGACAACAAAACATCCTCATCACCCAAAATGTTCTAATTAAAATGTTTGTCACATGCGCCAATTAGGAAAAAATACAACCGTGGTACGGTACCATCACCCTCCATAACTCTTTTTTTATCGCACAGAGACGCATTTAACCCGTTCATTGACAAAAGGTAGGTATTTAAATTAAGCTGTCGGAGAAAGTATATTTACTGCCTCGGCGACACATTCCGGCAAAGTGTTAAACTGTACATTTAAATCTTTTATATTTAGAAAGTACTATACTTCTGTAGCCAAAAGTTATAATCTCAGTGTACTCAATGTACAGTTTTAGTACTCCGTAGAGTACTGAAAAAACCGACCTCAAAAGGCATTCATCCCCTAGTTTGCCGTAGTTTGCTTACTTTGGAGGTGGAATATTTTCTTCAAATTTAAATGGATCCATTTTTGAGGTATCCTCTTTCTAACAAACAGGAATCATCAAAATCGGTTCACAAATCGCCGGAGTTATCGCGTAACATACATACATAAAAAAAACTTGAAGTGGAATTGAGAACCTCCTCCTTTTTTAAAGTCGTTTAAAAATAAATAAAATATAATTATAGCCATGTGTGATCATCTAAACAAACCTACAGCGGTTACAACAACAAATATATTTTGATAAGTTTTACTCAAAATTGATTTCCATTTAAAACTTTTGTCTCGTACATATACTGAAATAGGTGTGTTGTCTGTCATACGAAAGTGTTCATTAAAACTTTCCCGACAAGTTATTTATGCGGTCGTCTGTCAACGACTCCTCGGTGCGACAAATTTAACAATGCTCTCTCGTCGACAGTTACACCTATGCTCTTTTTACATCAACGCTCTTGGCTTGACGCTTCATCAGTCGTTTTTCTTTGATTTCACGCCAGTGTACCGCGTTAATGATGTGCAAATCTGTC